TTCTCTATGTCTAAGACTTGTGCTATGACTTTTACTCGGAAGCATGTAGTTCTTCATCCCTCTTTGTCGCTTTATGGTCACCCCCTTGTGTACAGGGATTCTGCTAAGCTTTTGGGGTTGATTTTTGACACTCGTTTGTCTTGGTCAGCATATCTCTCTTACCTTCGAGTTGAATGCTGTCAGGCCCTTAACCTACTTGAGGTTTTGTCCCATACTTCTTGGGGAGCAGATAGGCACACGCTCCTCTATTTGCACTCCTCTCTCTCTCGTTCTGTCTAATTATGGTTGCCCTGCATACTCTTCTGCTTCTCCTTCTACTCTTCGCCATCTTGATGCTTTGCACCATATTGGGTTGCGTCTCAGCTCTGGGGCTTTTTGTTCTACTCCCGCCCTCATTTTGTATGTTGACACTGGTTTCCTCTCTCTTCAGGACCGCCGTGATCGCTACTTTCTTCGCTATCTTGCACGGTCCTTTCAACATTCTTCCTCTTGCCTCTGTCATGCTTTAACTTTTACCCCTCCTGTAGCACCTGTTCCTCTTCATTGTCTCCCTCTTTCTGTTCTGTTATCTTGCTTACAGGATTCTCTTTCTGTTCATATTTCTAATGTTTCTCCTCATATTGTTCCTTCCTTGCCTCCATGGAGAGTCCCCCTTCCCAAGTTTTGTAAGTCCTTGACTTGTATCACTAAAGCCTTTACCCCTCCTACGATTCTGAAAAGCCACTTCCTTGAGTACTTTTCTTCTCACTCCCGTTCCGTTTCCGTCTTCACTAATGGGTCTAAGTCTGCGGACGGTGTTGGCTACTCTGTTGTTTTTCCTGATTGCACTTATATGTATCGCCTCCCTTCGGAGGCTAGCGTCTTCACAGTAGAAGTTTATGCTATTCTCTATGCTCTCCGTCTCTTGCTTTCTCATTGTCATTCCTCCTTTATGGTTGTAGTTGACTCTCGTAGTGCCCTCATGGCTCTAGGGTCATTTAATCCTGTCCCTCTGGTGGTCATCGAGATTCAACATTGGCTGTTTCTTATTTCTAGTAAGTTTAAATCAGTAGAGTTTTGCTGGGTTCCCAGCCACATTGGTGTCTTTTTAAATGAGCGTGCAGATGCTACCGCTAAGGAAGCTATCTGTTCTTGTCCCATCTCCCATAAAGGTCTTCCTTATTCCGACTTTTATTCTGTTATTCATTCCTCCATCCTTGCCCGTTGGCAGGGTTGTTGGTCCTCTGTAGTTAGTAACAAGCTGCATACTCTGTGTCCCCGTGGCCTTCCTCCTACCACCATAACCGGCGGTGGGAAACCTGCTTTGGTACGGCTGCGGATTGGCCGTACTCGCTTAACCCACGGTCACTTAATGGAGCGCCGCCCTGCTTCTTATTGTCCGAATTGCATTGTCCCTCTTACAGTTGTGCATATTCTTGTTGAATGTCCCGACTTCCAGGACGAGCGTGTGTCTTGCTTTCTGACCGTCCCTCGATAGAATGAATCGGATACTTTTGATATTGTTCGCCTCATGCGTTTTTGTTCTCGTATTGGCGTTCTTGGTGATATTTAGCGCCCTCTGATTATTTTGCACTTTGATGGTGCTACATAGCCTTCCCGGTTTGGTGCCTTCTTTTGATAATTACCTTACCTTGCCTGCCAGACAAAGAGTTGCAGGAATTCCTTTCCTGCCTGCCTTCTCCATCTTCTTTTAACAAGGTCACCAGCTGGGTTGAGATCTCTGCACCCCAACAGTGCAGTTCAGTGGGTGTATTCTATACTGCTTAATGCCAAAGTGTTGCATCTCCTACAAATTTGACACTGGACTGACAGCCCAAGGTGCACTTCTATAAAGTCTATGTTGCTTTACCACTCTCCAGCCACTATATTGCTGGTTGCCAAAGTGTTGTCACTCCTACAGATCTGATATTGGACGAATAGCCTAGGGTACAGTTTTATACAAGTCTGTGCTGCTTTGCCACTCTTCAGTCACTAAGAACTTCTATAGAAAATGTAATGTTCACTAGGTGGGACTATATCCCCCGTGTATGCTCATAGAGATTATTATGGAGGCACACTTAAACACAATGGTAAAATATGTGATATCTACTGACATAAGCTACATGATCACATATACAATTAATATTAATACAGAGATGGAAATAAAGAATAAACAATCTGGAGATCATCAGCAACTTTTCTTTCACGACCTCGATCCGACAACTCCTTCAGCCTGGGCAGATTTAAAAGGGGGCTTCACACCCTCTTACAGGGGGCCGCTTCGTCAATGTCGGCCTTCTCCTCTCCAACTGCCACACACACACACACACTGTCCTCTTCAACAGTCCTGGACACAAGCTGCCTTACAGCCTATCCTACTACAAATGTATCAGTGTCATACTGTGACATACATAGGTAAATATCGTGGCCTATCTAGCCTACTCAACAAAGGGGTAATGAGAGGGAAATTGATCTACCTCTACATTCCTGGCTCACGATGCCTGTCCCTCGATGGTGTGAGGTTCCCACGCTTCCTGAGTCGGTCCTTGACGATCCTGGAACGCTCCACACGTCCTCAGGTGTCGTGAAGCCTTCGTGTCGTCACCGAATCACTCCCAGAGTTTCACATATCCCAATCCTGGCTCATCCAGTGGGCACTGAGCTATAATACTGTATACACACACTCGTTCCTTCTACAAGGCCTTGTTCCTTGTCCTCGGATCGGTGTCGTCCCTCCAACGCTCTCAGTGGGTGTGACCCGGTCACAGCAGGCCTGCTTGCCACACCATCCAGATCCTCAAGCGCCACCAGCGTCGTCGTCGACCAATTCAAGTTTTGACACTTCTCTGCTCAATAAACTTGGTTTCTTCTTGCTTCCCAGAAGCACAGTCTCTCCAATAACAAAGATGGGCTGCAATGGCTAGCTTTAATCCACTGAGTAAGGCTTGCAAAGCCTCAAATCCTCGAGAGCTGATCGAGGCGCATCCTCTCGACTCCACAGTCAGTTCAACTCTGACGTTACCACAGCCGGCGCCACCAGGGGGCACTCGGTGACGTCACAGCGGGCTCTGATTGGTCGCCTGTGACCTACGTAAGTCAGTCCACAGTCGGCTGACATCGTCCACAAAGTGGCTGATCTGCAGGGAGGGGGTACCATTTCCTTTGCATCAGGGCGCCACTTCCCCCTTGCCTACAAACTTATAAATGTAAATTTCTCCCTCATCAGGCAGCCGATCTGGTTGCCACATACATCAACAGATTCCCTGCATCTCAGAGAATTAGTAGGTCTAGTAGATATGACTCTTAATTATGGATCTGGGGAGAAATTGGAGGGGCTCTGTAACAGAATGTACTTTACCTGAATAAACATTTTATTTGATTTCAAGTCCAGAATGCTGTTACCTCGAGTGGGCTTAACCACATGTTGTATGAGAAATGAGTCTGGCACCAGGTCTAGAAATTGATCTCCTTCTGCTTGTGATGTCAGATTTACCCAATCTATTATCTTGTGGTTAAAATCCCCTATTATAAAAGTTTGGGTTTGTGACGCCGCATTGATCACATTATGCAGATCAGTGACTTTTCTGCTGTTGCTGTGTCAGCCCTGTAGCATACTCCCGCTGTCAGTATGTTACCATCTTGAGCTAGTATATTGCACCATACAGACTCGGAGGATCCCATGGTATTCAGTTCCTCATTGGTGTTTGCATTCAGGTCCTCTTTCACATAAAGCAGTACACCACCTACTCTTGTTGTTCTGTCCTTTCTAAACGGTGGATGATACCCTGGGAGGAGGAATTCCCCTTCACTATGTCCTCTCGTCTCCATGTTTCACTTGTGCCAATGATGTGTGGAGTCTCGGCCTCAGCTTCAAATTTTTTTGCCAGGCTGTTGGCATTAGTGTAGAAGTGTACTTTAAATTAATTTCGTTGTTCCTATTGGTCTGAGTGATAGCTCCTAGATTCTGTACATTATGTTTTTCGTTGTCATTATTCGTTCGTCGGTTTTGTGCCGGTTCGTCTTCAGAGATATATAGGGTTAGTTCTGCCTGGCTGGGTGGAGAACAACGTCCTCTCCTCCATCTTTCACTAGCTTTGAATCATTGTATGCTTCTAAGTTCCTTAACTTCTTTAGCTTTCCGCTTATAGATTGGCTTTTCAAATATTTTAGACAAGGTTGGCAGAATTGATCTTGGTCTGAAATTGTTGACATCAGTAAGATCACCACATTTGGGGACTGGGATTATTCTCGCTGTTTTTTAGAATATCCGGAGAGGTTTGGAGTTCAGGTGATTTATTGTAGAGCAATGCAATGGCTGCAGCAAGAAATCTAGAAGCATTTTTTTTAAATGAGAGTTGATATTTCAGCAAGGGCACTTGACTTTAAGATAATTATCTCATTAACATCAGAGGAGCTAGCGGGAGTTAGGTACAGAGACTGGCTAATTTCCTGTGGGTAGTCCTTACAGGAAACTATCTAGTCATTAAATTACATTAGCTTGGGAAGATAAGATCATTTGCAAGGGATTTACCAATAGATGAGAAGAAACTATTGAATTTAATGGCAGTGTCAGAGGCAGAAAACATTCCATCGCCATTGGATAAAGTAATGGTTCTTATTCAAGATCTTCTGTAATCCTAATATTTGAAAAATAGGGTTCCATGTTTTCTTAATGTTCCCCTTAATTTGATAAAATTTATTTTCAGAGTATTGTATTTTGGCTCTCCTAATTACGATGTGGTCCTATTGGTACGTACGTGATACTGTTGTTCTCTTGATTCAAAAGTGTACCTATCTTAGTAAAATGAAAAAATCAAAATCAAAATGTTATTAAGGTAAAAGTACATACATAGAAGATGAGTTACAAACACAATGTTGGATTTATAGATAGAGCTAGTACATACAATACCTACAGCCACTAATATGCACAGTGTCGGGAAAGGGAATATGTCGAATATGGACATATTAAGGGAATATGCAAGGTGTGGGGGAAAACCCACTTAAGATGACTCCCCCCTCAGATCGCCTTCTTGGGGTACGTGGGCACAAAGAGCGACCCACAGCGTATCATCCATGGCTACGACAAGCATGGCAATGTCTGTGGCAAGAAGAACAAGCCATACTTCAACATCTCTAGTTCAGGACAGGACTTCACCGCACAACCGTGAGTGTCTGTACCGGTTTATTTCCCCAGTACCTCGCTTGTTAGGTGTTCCTTCTCCAGTACCTCGCTTGTTAGGTGTTCCTTCTCCAGTACCTCGCTTGTTAGGTGTTCCTTCTCCAGTACCTCACGTGTTAGGTGTTCCTTCTCCAGTACCTCACGTGTTAGGTGTTCCTTCTCCAGTACCTCGCCTGTTAGGTGTTCCTTCTCCAGTACCTCGCCTGTTAGGTGTTCCTTCTCCAGTACCTCACCTGTTAGGTGTTCCTTCTCCAGTACCTCGCCTGTTAGGTGTTCCTTCTCCAGTACCTCGCCTGTTAGGTGTTCCTTCTCCAGTACCTCACGTGTTAGGTGTTCCTTCTCCAGTACCTCGCCTGTTAGGTGTTCCTTCTCCAGTACCTCGCCTGTTAGGTGTTCCTTCTCCAGTACCTCACCTGTTAGGTGTTCCTTCTCCAGTACCTCACCTGTTAGGTGTTCCTTCTCCAGTACCTCGCCTGTTAGGTGTTCCTTCTCCAGTACCTCACGTGTTAGGTGTTCCTTCTCCAGTACCTCGCCTGTTAGGTGTTCCTTCTCCAGTACCTCGCCTGTTAGGTGTTCCTTCTCCAGTACCTCGCCTGTTAGGTGTTCCTTCTCCAGTACCTCACGTGTTAGGTGTTCCTTCTCCAGTACCTCGCCTGTTAGGTGTTCCTTCTCCAGTACCTCGCCTGTTAGGTGTTCCTTCTCCAGTACCTCGCCTGTTAGGTGTTCCTTCTCCAGTACCTCGCCTGTTAGGTGTTCCTTCTCCAGTACCTCACCTGTTAGGTGTTCCTTCTCCAGTACCTCACCTGTTAGGTGTTCCTTCTCCAGTACCTCGCCTGTTAGGTGTTCCTTCTCCAGTACCTCGCCTGTTAGGTGTTCCTTCTCCAGTACCTCACGTGTTAGGTGTTCCTCCCCCAGTACCTCGCTTGTTAGGTGTTCCTCCCCCAGTACCTCGCTTGTTAGGTGTTCCTCACCAGTACCTCACCTGTTAGGTGTTCCTCCCCCAGTACCTCACGTGTTAGGTGTTCCTCCCCCAGTACCTCGCTTGTTAGGTGTTCCTCCCCCAGTACCTCGCCTGTTAGGTGTACCTCACCAGTAGGAGCAGCTGATATAGTACTTTACAATAGAGTTTGACAGGTAACCTAACCATACCAGCAGTTATCAGTGTGACCACCCAACAGATAGTCCTCCGTTACACAGTGGTAACTCTCTCACCATGCCTCGCGAGCAATTTGACCCAGGTTCGTATCCTCGCCGGGGAAGATTGACTAGGAGCCAAACTTTATCTGTACGCCTCTGTTCGCAACTAGTGGATAAACTTTCCTTCCCATATGAACTATGGGAAGGAAAAGCTCTCACTCAGGCTGTTTAACAGGAGTGCTTAACTGAGTAAAAGAAATAGAAGTTAATTTACCTGATCTACCTGATTTACCTGAGGCCACTAACCCTAGTGGCCTCGATGAGAACAGGAAGCTGGTGGTTCCCCCATTATTACATTTAATACAGTAATGGTCCCTCCCATTTAATACAGTAATGGTCCCTCCCATTTAATACAGTAATGGTCCCTCCCATTTAATACAGTAATATTAATCATTGTTGTTCCAGGTTCCTGCAACTGGGCTTCGGCATCCCAACAGCTGATGATTACGTAACCGGGGATGTTACAACCAGGTCCTGCGCGGCCACCTGCCCAAACAGGTCAGTCACCTCCTGCTCGCTCAACAATAGCCTCGCCATCAAAGAAATATTCCAGTATATTTTATTTTTTGAACAGTACATATCATGAGACTTTTGGTTAGTGTCCAAGGCATAAGTTGGACAGCTTTTTAATTCGTTAGGGAGTGAGTTTCATACACTAGGTCCCGTTAAATTTTTGCCCCGAGGGGCGAGTTTATTGGGGAGCGCCACTCATCCTATGAGTGGACACACCGCCATAGCAGCATGTACAACACTCCCCAATAGGAAGAAAACCCGCTGGGTTGTTCATCCTGTCACTTGTACCCAGACACAGCTGGGACTTGCTTAACTGTCTCAAGTGAACAGCTCCTCAAACAAAAAGATTAATATCTGTCAACCCTTAAAAGCTTACGTTATCTTACGGGTGCAAAATGGGGGAATCTTTTAAGAACAGTATCAATATTTGACAGTGTTTTTCTAATTCAAACAATGTGGTGTTTATTATTCTACACATATTTCTAATGTTTCTCAGGTGTTCACATTCACGTAGATAGTGTTCAAGGCGGTGTCCGTCACTCTCACCACAGATTCTGCAACTTCGCTGATCAACAGTTGTTTCCATTCCATATCTCTATGGATATTTGTATCCAAGACGGATTCTCGCTATTACTGATTCTCTCCCACGTCCTCCTCCTCCTCCTCCGTCCATAATGATTGGGATTGCCAGCTGCAACCATGTTGTACCATCGTACAGATAAACTGGTTTGTGCTTCTATCCTCCTTTCCTCAGTTACCTTGTCACGGTGATGTTGCCTGACAATACCTCTAATTTGTAGTAGAGTCTTTGGTATGAAGTATTCAATATGGTCTCCTTCAGCGCCTTCAGCAGCCAGCATATCTGCTCGTTCATTCCCACATATTCCAACATGAGAGGGGATCCACAGAAACTTGACTCTTCCCTGATTGGTAAGTACTCTCACAGCTCTCTTAATTTCAGCGACTATTGCAAGATTTTCTGCCCAATTTTTACTTAGGCTTTGCAGTGCTGCATTTGAATCAGTACAAATCACTGCACCATTAGTGTTCCGTTCAAGAACGCCCCTGCCTCGCAGTTAGCAGAGCTAACGCCATAACAATGGCAGTTAGCTCTGCTTGCGTTGAAGAGGCATAGTTCTCAATAACTGCTTTTTCTTCATTTCTGCGTTGGAAAGCATTATCCTTAATTACCGTGTATGCTGCACCAGCCCTGCCAGTGACAGGATTAGATGACCCATCAGTGTAGATTTGATCTAGTTCATCTCCGGCTTCTTTATAAATTTCCTCGAGATACTTGTGCCTCATATCTAATGGTATCATGTTGGATTTTTTCGTTGCCATTTCATTGATGATAATCCTGCATGAGTCATCCTCCCAGGGAGGTAACCTCTCTACTGGCAGGAGCTCACGGGCTTGCTCAAGCAGGTGAAGCTCTTCCAGGTAGCAGACTGATCTGTGATGCCATTTTTTGCTTCTCCTGTTTCCCCCAGAAAGTAGCACAGAACTCAGTTTTTTCTTATCAATATCATTGTAATGGGGATCTCTGGCTATCCTAATTGCAAGCTAAGCATTCAGCTCCTGAATTCTGCTTTTAACACTGGGAAGGGACAACTCCTCTCGTAGATTAGACGTTTTGGCAGTTCTTGGAACTCCAAGAATGATTGTCATGGCTTCATTCTGAATGCTTTCGAGCCTTTTCATATAGCTTTGGGAGTAGGTGCTGAAAACCGGTGCGGCATAGTCTATGACGGAGCGCACATAGGCCGTGTACATCATTTTAAGCACAGCAATAGAGGCTACATGTCCATTCCAGGTCATAGCTTTCAGTGCCCCGAGTCGACTTTTGCATGTTCCTATGAGTTGATTGAGCTCCTCTTTCTTCCCCTTGTTAGAGCCGACAGTGACGCCAAGGTACCGATAGTGGTCAACCCATTCAAGTGTTACACCATTAATTTGTAGTTCTTCATTTGCTCTCCGCTTGTGATGGGAGTATGTCTTCGTCTTGTTTGTGGAGAGAGTGAAACCGAGCTCAATACATTTCCTTCTGAGGAGTTCAATGGACTGTTCAATTTTTCCCAAGGTGGGAGCTTGTATTAGGATATCATCTGCATATCCCACTTGTTGTGTTCCTTCCGGAAAATCAATATTTGCAATGGCGTTCATAAGTACATTGAATAGTGTAGGGCTTAAGACTCCGCCTTGGGGGGGTCCCGAGTTCCGTATTCATTGTTCTGGAGACTGCTCCATTGAAGCAAACCTTGGCTTTCCTTCCTGTGAGGTAGTCTTCAACCCATTTCATGAGTCTCCCCTTGACACCCATGCATGCAAGCTCGTCCAGGATTGCAATCCCCCGTGCTTTGTCGAAGGCTCCTTTGATGTCAACAAATACAGAGTACCTAGCCGTGTCATTAGCCAGGTAATTAACTATACAATTTGCTGTATTTGCTGCTGTATTTACCCCCTCCCCTAACCAGCCTTATTTGCGCAACAGTCGGTTTAGAATGATCCTTTCAAGCATCTTGCAAGTGCATGACACGAGACTGATAGGTCTGTAATTACCAGGGTCATTGGGCTTCGGTATGGGAACAATTATTGCGTGTTTCCATTGTGTGGGCAACACTCCACTTAGGAATGACATGTTAAACAGGTGGAGTAGTGGAGTCCCAGACACTTCACACAGTGCATTGAGTATGTCGTAGGTGACGCCATCTTCACCAGTTGCTGTACTTTTACACTTTTTCATAGCGCCCTTTACTTCCTGGGCTGTGATTTTTACATAGCGTTTGCCCATATTTTGTTTGACTCTAAGGATATCAGAGATATTTCTGTTGTGGTAATTATGGGTTCTATTATATCTGTCAAGGAAGAGTTTCAGATAAGTATTTGCATTTAGGAACAAGGTTTAGTACATGTAAATGGCACAGGAGAATGTGTGGAGCAAGTGTGTGTTTAAGGATTTAAACAGGGGCTGTGTGTGTTGTCTGAAAATAGTGAGCTATTGTTCTGATAAGATTTCTATGGGGAGCCCTGTCAGATCTCTGAAGCTATTCAAACTGACATGTTCCATATTAGTTTGGTGTCATCAGTCCCGGGAGTTCTGCGCCTACCGGGGACCACGAGCCAGGACATAGTCCCCTCAGAGAGGCACAGGGAACAATGGCCATTATGAGCACTCTACATTTAGAATGTCATGTCTACCATCGACCGGGGAGGGCGATGGTAGACATGACTACCCAGTACAAAATCCTAACTAGTAAAAATGTCAACCTATGTGCAAACAGACCCAAAGAACTCCCTCAAAAGAAAACAAATAAATAATCATCCAACTAGTGCGCTGGCTCGTTAGTGAGCTAGCTCGTTAGTGAGCTAGCTCCTTAGCACACCGGCTTGTTAGTGGCCCCCCTCCCCTCCGGCAAGAAGGGGAAGGGGGAGTCAGGTCAGGCAAGCTGGCAGCCCATGACCTCAGTTCGTGACTGATGTGCCTGGTGTCAGTACGTCTCCTTTGGCCTCGCTTTCCTGACTGGCTTTTGAGTGTGTGGCTGTGCGAGCTGTGTGTGATGTGGTGGCCAGGTGTTCTCAGTATGCTGGGCTGCATGCACCTAGGGCTCCCTTTCCTAGGTGCCCAGTAAGTACTTCCCTTGCATTTTAGGGTTATCTCCTCAAGGACGTTCGGGTCTCACTCCCGTTTGAGGGCTTCATCACATAGTGTTGTTCTTGCTCTTGGGATACATCGGGGGTCTTGGGCTTTCCGTCTTGTGAGTGGGAAGTACGTGTTTGCTGGGTGGGGCGCACTGCAGCCAGCGCAGGCTGCATACACGGGGTGGCCGACGATTCTCTCTGGCGACCAGTTTGTGTGTTGCTTCGGGGGGCTTTTGCTTTGTTTTTTAATGTGTTCTCCTTGACTTTGGTGGAGGTCGTCGGCCTAGCTTCCCATTTGGCCTGCCTAGGTTGTGTTGGTCCTCCTCCTCTGTTGCCACAAGGTTTCACAGTGACTTCTGGTTGTTAGTTTGCCTGATAACAGACAGGGTTTACTGGCTTAGCTAGCCCCAGTGCCTGGGTTTCTTGTAGGGTTAATGTACCCTACGGGCCCTGGGGTATTAAGGATGTGTCTTCCGAGCCCTGTCTCGCCTTGTGCGATGCTGAAGGTTGTTCATTGCCCCTGCCTCGCGGTGACGATCACCCGTCCTGCCTCAGTCATGCTGCCTGTTGGGTCGACGATACCGACGACCCTGAGCCTTGCGGGATTTGTTCTCGGCTTGTCATTCAGTTTACCCATTCCTTATCTGAGAATGTTAGGGGTCTGGTAGCAGCTGCATTGCATGCTAGGTTGGTTAACCAGTTGGAAGTCCTGGAACTGCCTCGCTTGGATTTTAGGACTAGGATTTAGGGACGTTGGTTACTTCAACTGTGGTTCCATCCGCATCCTTGCTTCCTTCCTAGGTGGGTTTGATTCGCCCTGCTCCTTCCCTCTGTTTCCGGCTCCCAAACGTCTGAAGGTTTTAGAGTTGGGGCGGGGTTTAGTTGGGAGGAGGCTCGGGGTGGCTTCAGGGGATTGCCCCTTCCGATTTGGGGATGGAGGGTGTTGAGCCCGATATGCACGTTGAAGCTTCACTGTCAGCACAGCAGGCTCCCTTCTTTGAAGCTTTTCCCCAGAACTCCAACTTTTTCTCAAAGGGTGGTGGGTGTGGGTGAGGGTTCTGCTCTGGGGCCCCTGTGTTGGGGGGCTCCTGGGGCTAGGGGGGAGTCTGCTTGGAGAGCTTGGGCTCCTTATGATCCTGCCTGAGCCCCTTGTGCCTTCTGGGCAGGGGTTATTGGTGCTGGGCATGGTTTATTGTTGCTGGGCATGGTTTATTGTTGCTGGGCATGGTTTATTGTTGCTGGGCATGGTTTATTGTTGCTGGGCATGGGTTATTGTTGCTGGGCAGGGTTTATTGTTACCTGACAGGGGGGGTTTCGTATACTCCTTCCATGTATGAATTTGAGTT